TAGTTGCTGGACTTAGCATTTAAACATTCAGTGAAACTGTTTATTGCTTTCCTGGCACTTGGAAAGCAAATCTTTAAGCATCTTGATCTGTGCATGGACAAATCTGAGAACTGATCTTTTTCCTGTTAAAAACAGAATTGTCCTTGTTTAGAGAGTCATAGAGACCTGTTCGAAGCAATGAGTTAAATATTGCTGCCGTAGCTCTGAAAGCAAACAGAGCTGCCGTTGTTTGCTCCATAATAGCACTTGCTCAGCCTTGGACACTAGAATTTTTTTACAAGATGGGGAACGTTGGCTAGGATCCTGGAGTGTGGGGGTTTTTTACTGAAGTGCTTAGGAGGTCTTGAGTTATCAAAGGACAGCACCCTTCAAATAAGCAGTATCTTCAAAGTGTCACCATTGGTTTAGCCTTGAACCTGTGAATTCAGAAGTATCCTAGCATCACTTTCTCTGTAGCAGCTTAACAGAAGCTTCCTCTACCAAAGGCTGTTTATCCCTACAAGTCATCTGGTGACTTTGATCATTCCTGTTCTAGAGCAAGAGTCCTTTACAGAACTCTTATTAATACTTTCAACTGTCAGATTTCTTTTCTTGACTGTTATTACTTGTTAGCTCAAAAAAGTAGCTATGATAGAGGGATTCAGATATTCCAAAGTATGCATTGGACAATTTTTTTGTTTGATAGGAGTTATCTGTCTGCGTGTTTGAAGAAGTAGCTGTTGTCATTGGACAACTGGTAAAAATACGTATTGCTGGTTAATAGCTACAATTCAGCTACTGCAAACACGGAAGAAGTTGCACTCTAAAACTAGATAAAACGATTGCTGACACTAGCACTTCAAGGATGATATTTAAAATTTGATTTTGCTATGTTGTCTTGCAAGGTAGGTATTTTTTTTCTGGACCTACTCCAGCCTGTTATATGTTAGAGGTCAAACTAAATTTCCACTGGGAACTACATCTATTTCTTAACTTTAAAAAACAAACAAACAAAAAAAAAAACCCCCCAAAACCCCCCACAATTACGATGTAGTTCTTCAGTAATTTGCTGCCATAAATAACTTTAAAAGGTAACACAGGTTAATATATTATATCTGTGAGGTAAGTCCCTTCTGAGCTTGAAATTAGAAGTTGCCAGCAATGCTGTGCTAACTGGCATGTGGAGATGTGTTCTCAGAGAAGGCAGGGAAAGGTAGGTGGAGAATGGGAACATTCTTTCCTGCAATTGAGAGAACCTTTCTTTCTGGTAGGGCAAAACATAGGCTGCTTATTTCAGGCTTTCTTCTTTCACACCTATATTCCATACATGTTTGTGTTTTTGTTTTTTTTTCCCTTAGTTCAGATTTGGTGTTTCTAGTCAGTTCCCTCACAATCCCAGTATTTATTGCTGTAACTTTGGCAGCAATGTATACTTCTGGAAAGGTCACCAATTCTGTTTTCTAGCTGGAATCTTCTAGAGGAATGGAAGTAGAAGACAAATGTAGTGTGGAAAATTGCTATGAATAAAGTCTACCAGAGGCTAGTTGTCAGAGAGCTGGGTAAAGGGAAATGGTGTTGGGAGTTTCTCGAAGGGAAAAAATTCTGTCAATCCTTAAAAATATAAAATAAAATAATTAGCCTGCAAACATAGAGGTGTTGCTGCCTCTCAAGTGTGAATGTGAGTATATATGTATGTTTGTGGGTTTTTTAATTGAACCCATTTCATCATTATACTTAATAATAGCTTTGGATCTGGATGTTTGGTAGGTCTGGTATTCTGTAAGAGCTTCAGGAGAATAATAGGATTATTTTTGATCTGATATAAATGTCATACTCAAAGGAGTATGGTCAGAAATAACTGAGACAGGAAACTTTTTCTGATCTATTCTGGCTTCTAGTTTTCTTTACATCATCTGACCCTAAATATTGTAAGATTTTTTCAGTTAGCTAAAAAGCTGGACCATAGCAACACAGATATTTCCACTGGCAGCATAATTTTTTTCATTGTTTTAGCTTTTAGAAACAGATGTTGGACTGTAGCCCACGTACTGGGTGTTGTAGCAAGGTTCCTGTGTTTATGTAGCCAAAGACTGTCTCTGCCCATGTGAACAGGTTTGCGGGCTGAGGATACAGCTTTATGTCAGAAGTGCTATTAAGCCTTCCATTGAGGAAGGGCAAGTGAACTGATGGTATTAAAGTACTGTCATAGAGTCTTAGGGGGTAAAAGTTATGAATTATGGCTAGGCAGGTGAATTAGTAACAAGATCATGTAGGACCCATAACAAAACTGAATCTTGGTGACAAAATTGGTATGGTAATGATTGCATGAGTTTTCTCTTCCCTCTTTGAGGGAACAGAAGTCTTATCCTATATGTGGGAGTGAGCATGCAGATTTTTAGGAGGAAATGGAGTTGAGTGGTGTATGCAAAGACCAGGAAAATGAAATCTATGGGGAGGACATACTTGAATAGGCAGCATTAACTTTGACTTCAAGAGCTGCAGTGAAGACAACAGGCCTGTATCTTACATTGAACAGGAAAGAATGACTCCTAAGCATGCTGTATGTTGCTCTCCATGCTTTATTGCAGGAGGTGTGCTTTGAAATTTGCATTAAATTCTCTTAAGTATGTGGCAAAAATGGTTTAATGTAAATAGCTTTTTCCCTCCATCCACTTCTTTCAGTCTCATCAACTTTCAAAGAAACAATTTTGGATGATGTACTGTGGCCAATGGAAATAGTAGTGCTTGTTCTGTTCTAAACTTGCTACTGTATCCCACCATCAGTTTTTTTGGATGCTTTACTAATAAATGCAGGAGCTAACCTTGTCAAAGAAGGGAGTCAAAATAAGATTTGGAGTGTTGGACAACTTGGACATGAGGAAAAATTTCTTTACTGAAAGAGTGGTTAAACAGTGGAACAAGCTGCCCAGGGAAGTGGTTGAGTCACCATCCCTGGAAGTATTTAAAAGACGTGTAGATGAGGTGCTTAGGGACATGGTTTAGTGGGCATGGTGGTATTGGGTTGACGGTTGGACTTGATGATCTTAGAGGTCCTTTCCAACCTTAATGATTCTATGAAAATGTAAGACTTTGTACCCAGACTGCTGAAACTGGGAGCTTGTGCAGGTGATGACTCATTTCTGGCAAGTTATCATTTAGAGCTTGTTCAGAGGCTTTGTTGTGATACAAACACATGAAAAGCACAGCACAATTGCTTTAATATGCTTTAATTGCTTTAATATGACAGGTATGTTAATATGCTTTGCTTTAATATGACAGGTATGTGAGATGTAGACAAGTGTTCCAAAAATATTTGCTTACTTTTCAGGCAAAAAGTGCAAAGTAAGCCTGTAGTTGTAAGCCTGTAATTGTTCAATCCTAACATACAACATCTCATGTGTATTCCCTGGTAAGTTCCTGCTTGCAGTAGCCTGCTGTTTCAAAAGAACTAAGCATATTTAGAAGTTGCATTCCTTTATTCTTGGGTGGTAGGTGAAGAAAGGCTCTCATCTTGTTTAGGTATTCAGTGTTGCAATTCTTAATGCCTTAAGAAATGCTCTCCGCCTGTGTTTAAGGAGACTCATTTCTGTTGGGTTTTTTTTACTACCGTGGTTTTATGGAATTTGTCCCTTTTGGTAGTGTTTTGGTTGTAATAGTTTGTGTGTGGATCTGCTATAGGAGACTACAACTAGACTTTCACTACATCAGCTTATTATTTTTATAAGTCTAGCAAGATTGGTACAACATGGTGGAAGTGTATCTAGTGTTAGTCTTAACAGCTCACTTTTACTGTAGAAGGGTTACAGTAAAGATGTTGGTATATCGGACTTAACAGAATGGCTTGAAGTTAGCCTGAGGTACAGGTTGCGTTCTAAAGGTCACAAAGGTCACGGTCCAGAGACCACATTAGTGTAAAAAATAGCAGTATATTTGTCCTTAGAAAGTCTTTCAGTTTCCAGTATCTAGAATTAGACATAATCTCCAAGTGGTTGATTAAGGGAGGGGAAAGAAAGAATAATTCTCATAGTTAACTTCCTAACTGAAGCAAAACCTACAACACTTTTGAGCTTTGTGCTGGATTTGAGTAACAGTCCCTTGCCCTTTGTTTCATTAGGAGGCATATTTGTGGCTAACTCAAATCTTTAGTTTGTGTGAGAATTCTAATCACTTATTTGGGGGGGGGAATACTTAACTGATTAAAAGGTTGGAAACCTGTATCATCTGTGAAACTGTATGGTTTTTTGTAATCGAGGTAGAACCAGCAGGTCTCATACCAAGAAACTAACTATACCTTCTCTCTAGCCTAGCAATGTTTTTTGAAGGGCTCAGGCTAATGCTAGCAGGGGACTTTGCTGACACAGGCAAAATACCAGGGCCAGCAATTGGCAGCTGCCTGGCTCCCTGTCTTCTGTCAATGCATTTAAAGTATCTACTTGCGATTATATTTTAATGATACGACCTTTAATTTACATGGAACAGCCACTTAGAGTGGTAAAGGACCATGCACATAGAGGTAAAAATAGACTGAAGTTGAGCTATTTTCCTAGACTGAGTGGGTGTCTAATTCCTTAAGACACTGTTAAAAGGGGCAGTTTATGACAAGATCTGGGATGACTATAGTGACCTTGTGGGACTCTCTTGGAATGTGGTGGAAAAAAAGACATCTTTAAATACTGGTTATAGGTAAAAAAAAAAAAAAGTGGCTGTTTTGGATTAAAAAAATGGCCGTTAAGCATTTCTTTCAGGTATGAGGTTGAATGTCTGCATCTGTGCCGTTTATATCTTCTGCAAATCTGAACTCCTGGAAGTCCTTTAATATACTTTTGTCTTTAACTTTTGTTAAGGTCATAATGGTTTCCATCCCTGAATACTATGAAGGAAAGAATGTCCTCCTGACAGGAGCCACAGGCTTCATGGGAAAAGTGCTTCTGGAAAAGCTGCTCAGATCTTGTCCTAAAGTGAAAGCAGTGTATGTATTGGTAAGACACAAAGCAGGGCAGGCACCTGAAGCACGAGTAGAAGAAATTACCAGCTGCAAGGTATGTGTCATATGCTCACAAAGTACATCTCTGTCCTTCCCTATAATGTTCCCATTTCATTTTGAAAACAACTTTGGTTTGTCTAAAGCAAATTATTGTTGTTTAAATGTTTTTCGTTCTAACAGAAATATAAAATCCAAGACCTGGCAGTGCTTCTATGGCTGGTTTTCAAGCTGTTAGTCTCTAGCAAAGCCAGTAGTGGAAAATTATCCTGTATTTAATTCAGGAGGAGGATGTTCAGCTGTAATGCAGAACTGAGAAGTAAAACACCTGAGTTAAAGCTTGTTAAGAGAATGTATAATCAGGCGCAAGAGGCGGTGTGGATGGGGAGTTGTAAGATGGGATTGAGTACCTTCTTTAGATCTCAAGCAAGTCACTTCTTCTCCTTGTGCCTTATTTTCTTTTCTGTGAGATGAGGCTTAGTACTTCCTTTTTCTTGATTGCTCTATTGGATCTACCAGTAAGCAAGAACATGTGATCTAACAGGTTGTTTAAATAGCTTATGTTTGTAAACAGAACAGAAATGTTTGTCTTAATAGATTCTATTATGGATTTCTGTTAGTCATACAGATTAGTATAAACCTGTGACAACAAAGGAAAGGCACTGAAATTCTGTGCTGTGGAAGTATTAAAGTGTTTATCTAAAAGACTATCTGTGCATGCTGGGTGGGATACTTTCCTCCTGAAAAGACTCCTTACCTTAATATTCTGGTGAGCTAAGCTGGGCATTCTTACTACATGCAGAACCATCCATTGGTGTTGCCCACTCTGTAATACAGAGTATCCCGTTTATGATGAGAAGGATGAACAGGAAGGGGACAGATGCTTAGTATGAACTTTGCTAAAGCAGAGTTTATTTCTATCCAGGTCTTTCTCTATGGGATATGGGAGTTGGCAGTTTAACTTTTCAGGCTTAGGAAATATGTTGAAATGCAATGTAGTCTCTACCAAATGTGTGGTTAGAAGGTGCTTAAAGGGAATCAATAAGAAAGTATGAACGTGTTTAGGCTAGGAGAGGTAAGTTGTTTAAAGTAAGGCAATGAATTTCTATGACTCTGACTAGTTAAGATTACAGCAGATGTGAGGATGGCTGTGTGCGCCTAGTAAATTATTTTCTGTAACCATGTCAAAACTCTAGCTCATTGCTCAAAAGCATCTGCTTGCAGTCCTGTGCAATGTCATAGAATGCAGCAGAATGAGTTACAGTGGGGTTCTGTCTTAAAATCAAGTCACAAATTATTTCTACATAAAACCCTCAGTTTGTCACTCCCTGAAACAAGGAAAAGATCTCCCGACCAAACTCTGAGATGAAAAAGGAAAAGTTTCTCAACCCCTTTTTTGTATACACTATTACCCAAATAAAAAGTGGAGAATATTCGGGCAGGGGGAGAGTAGCAGTAGTGTGGGCTGACTTAAACTTCAGTAAGACTTAAGCCTCAGCATAGCTTTTGGGAAACTTGTGTTGTAAAAGGTGTTTAAATTTGAGTCCAAATCTTCTGCTTGTAGTCTGTTTTCTCAGCAGGAGTTGGTATGATCTGATGTTTTTATGAGTCTCGGTGAATACTTATTGCTGGAACAGGTTCACAACAGAAGTTCTGGTAAGCAGGACTACTGCTTGAGGTAGTCCTACATCTTAGTCCCCAGAGTGAGAGCATAAAGAGATGGTGTTGCACATCTATGCAGACATGTAGGTAGGGTCAGATATTTGTTCTGTCTTCATCGCATGGTGAGACAAATTAGATTGAAAGTGTATTGTTTAACCGGCACTAATGTAATCAAGATTCTTCCAAAAGACTATGAACACTTTTCATAGGATATGTTGTCTTAAGTTGTCCAGTTGTAAGAGCCCTGCCAGTAATTTTTCACAGTTTGGATGGGCTCATTAAGTGTTCTACAGATGCTTGGACATTCTGTTTCTTGAAGAGTTGAAAATCTAAATGGGTGAATGTGATAATTAAAATAAACTGAGCTGCAAATAGCCAAAAAATGTTGAGGTTTCTACTTCCTTTGGACTTCAGGTATATAATTCCTCTGTTAATTTGCCATATGTATTGCGTGTGCTCTAGGTGTTTGTTTTTGTTCCTCACTGTACTGGTATCAGTGCTTGTACGAGGTATGTAGGAATAATGTATGGCTATGGAGGTGAAAAGGGGCAGAACAGATATAACATACAAACTAAAAGTACCAAACCGGTTCTTTAAGTGCTTATCCATGGGACTGCTTTTCTATTATAATGCATACCACACATTAATATGATTAAAGGTAGTTACTTCACTTCCCTGGAGGCAGGTACCATCATTCCAACTGAAAACATAGCAGGTTCATTTTCGAAATGACAAAAGGCTTCCTGCCCTTAGGTAAGCACTGTTCACTGTACCATGTGAACTAAGAATTGCAGAGGCTTTAAATGCTGTCTTGGCAGCTTTGCCCTTTAAGGGGAAGCTTCATGTTTGGGAGATCAGTTCAAGACCTCTATCACTGGAGATGTCCCATATTCTCACTATAGCATTACCGCTACTACTTTAGGTGGCCACGCAGTGAGCTGCATTAGCTTACAGTTGAGCTGAAAAAATAGCTACAAAACCCTGTTTTTTTCAGCTGGACCAGCAAGCTTGTACGCTCACGCAGCCACTGGGCTACTTGCTATTGCGAGTGCAGGAGAAACTACATGGAAATGAAGAAGTTGAGAGGGACCAATCTGTTTGGAAGCAGTACAAACTTATAGTGCCTTAAGAGTCATGAAACTGTACCTTTAGGTGACTTAATTTATAGCTGAAAATGAATTGACTTCATTCTGTAAGAAAATGTGTTTTACTATATGCATTCAGTATAACTGCATGCTTAGGGGGGGGGAAAAGTACTGCTGTGATTTTAATACATTTTCATTGACTTGTGTTGAAGCAGTTGCTAAGATATTTGCCCCTGTACAATTAAGAAGAGGGGTCTGCTCTGGTGAAACTTTCAAGTGTGTTTTATTCCCACAGTACTATTTTGCTCAGGAAAACTTGCATACTAATGACTGTAAGATGAGGCAAGAATTTTTATCTGTGTGTATTAAGCCACATGGTTAGAATCCAGTTAATTATGAGGAGAATATATGAAGGAATATAATATGGGTGAGATTTTTTCAGTGAGAATAGTTGAATACCAATTTGATAAGACTCAATCAGATGTACATAGCCTTTAACCCTGCCTTTTTCTTTTAACTAGCCAGAGAAACACTTTTTTAATCTGGAAGTTCCCCAAAAGTGGCATAATTCCAGGATAGCATTTCTTGAATCACTGGAAACTTTTAAAGCTTGATGAAAGCTTTCTAAACCTAAAAAACAGCATGACTCGTGCAAGTCTGCAAGAACTTGAATAGTTATTATCAAACTTGGGAAGTGGGCAGACTTTTCCCTTCTGTTAAAAGAAAGGAGATGACAGTATTTAGACTGCTACTTAAAATTTCTTTGAGTCCTGGTGTCTAATAGACACTATTCCTTCTTCTCGTACTGATAGGGATGAGTATTAAAAAAAAAAAAAAACTAAGTGCAAATTGAAGTCTTACTACCTTCTATACAACACATGCAATACTGCTTTCACTCTATGGGATAAAGTGTACACAGCGTCATTGCTGAATATGTTGATGGGAGGTCAGTAAAATGTTGTTGTACTATTCCTAACACACTTTTCTAACTTACCTCCTTCTCAAGATCATCAGTATAACTCTGTATAGGCAGAAAATGTGGGTTTTTTCTTCGCTTACATGAAATGTATCTTTTATCTTCACTGGCTATTAGTTTGAATTTTTAGTTCTGTTTTTTTGACAGCTCTTCGACAGGTTGAGAGACGAGCAGCCAAACTTCAGAGCAAAAATAATAGTAATTACGAGTGAACTTACACAGCCTGAACTGGACCTTAGTGAACCAATCAAGGAAGAACTTATAGAATGCATTAATATTATATTTCATTGTGCTGCTACAGTCAGATTCAATGAAACACTAAGGTAAGTCTAAAATTCTGTATACTCTGGTCTGGTAAACCAATGGTACTCAAAGGGAGGGGGTAAATCAGGTGTCTGTACAATCTTGCAAATATTCAGCCTGTCAGGCTACTTCACGTACTGTGATGTTTGTGTACTTGGTCAATTTCATGATGCCCCTTAAGTTTGAGGGAAAAGATTATTACCTTTTCTCAAGCTGTTGGGTTTTCATTTGCTCTTCTTAGAAAGATGGAGGCATGTTATTTAAACCTGCTTTGCCAGAGGTTAGAATTACACTATTCAACATGGAAAAGTTCATGTCTTTTTAAAGCTTTAGGCAAAAAGACAAATCCATTATTAGTGCTTAGAAACGAAATTATTTTTGTACTTTTGTTATAGGCCCCTCAGGTTTTGTTTGTTTTGGGTTTTTTGTTTTGTTTTTAACTAAATTCCTGTGCCTGAATTTCAAAGTCTCTTTGAAGGGAAACTGTTGAAGAGACTAGGGAGCACGTTGCTATTCCAAGTCTTCCTAGCATCATGTGTTGCTCTGATCTCTGGGATGAGTAGAAAGGGTATGAGTAAGCGGTAGCTATATGTACTGTGCTCACTAGTAATGTTAGAGCTTTTTTCCTAGTGTGTGAAAGGGAACACAAACTATTCCTTTAGCCTTCCTTGTTAGAAGGGGAACGCACGTTTTCAGAGGATACAGTTTTGCCAAAAAGTTATGTGGGGAAAGTTCTAGCGCTTCCTGTCTACCTGATGAACAAATAGGAGATTAAATACTGCTCAGCTTTCTCTGTGTCTTCAGAAAGTCCTTCATTAGGAAGAATAGAGGTTTGCATTGGAGGGAGTAGGGAGAAGTAGATGCATAGGGAGAAAAGTGAAAACTAAAAGTTAAACTTCATGTTGTACAGAAAATTTGTTGAGGAAATACTAGAGAAAGGAGTACCAGAAGCAAGAAAAGATTGTATTTGCCTTTTAGCAAAAACAATGACTTGATTTAGTGTTGAAACACTTGAATAAATATCCAATTTGGGTAAATGACTTTGAGGAATATCTCATCTTTTTTTTTTTGGGGGGGGGGGGGAAGTGAGGTGAAGTAAAGCAACTTTGAGATAAACCACTTCTCAACTCAGGTTTTCTTTGAGTTGTTACAAAGATTGGCACTACCTCTCTAAGAATGCTATACTGTATGCAGAAATGTCATAAGGTAGCCCATGTTTATCACTGTTTCATGGTCTTGAGATGTTAAAGAACTGACAAAAGCCCAGAGGGACTTCAAAACAGTTTGCAAGGCTGGTGGAGTTGGGTCCTGGTACAAAAAGCCTCTGGCAGTTTCCGCTTTCTTGGCGGGCCCAGTATGTTGTTTAGCAAAATAGAAAATGCGAGCATTTCTTAGGTGCTCTGGCCTCAACTCTTTCCTAACAGATATGCTGGAATGGTTGGAAGAACCTTACAAATCTGAAGACCACCTAGAGCAGCCTTCATCAGATATTTAACAGGAATAACTAGTGTAAAGTTAAAAATGTTTGGCTTGGGGCCAGTGGTAGGAGTAAAGTCAAGAAAGCAAAATACTCTGGGCTTATTTTGGAACTTTTCCTAATTTGTATTTGCTGTATACTTCTGTATCTTAAAATGGTGCATACAGCTCTGATTATGAACTCCTTCCTTTGACTTCTTGAAAGAGGCAGTGAAGACTGAGAATAATACTCTTATCTAAAAAAAAAGTAACTTACTGAGAAGTAACACTTTCCATTGATGTTAATTGCTTTGGGATAGTGGTCCCCCCTCTCCTGTCCCCCCAGTGCTTCAGTAATAATGTGTGATAAAGCAGTCTTAAACTTGGTGCATATTTGGGGGGGGACCAAGGGGTTTTTTTTGTTAATTTAATACTTTATTGCAAAGACTTTGATAAAGCTTTATTCAGCTGTATTCTTGAAACTTAATTGACTTAGTACATGGTGTACAAGAAGACTAGTGCCCATGGTAAGTTTTATAGACTAGAGAGAATAACTGAATTGTATAAAATAATCATAGTAGTTGGTCAGTAAGCTGTGTTCTGGTGGGAATTGTAGAGATATACGTACTCTCCTACAGTGTCCTTAAGGACTCTGTTTTAATGAGAAGCAGTGAAGTTGGAGGATGAAAGTGTGGTTCTTGGTGGTTTTCCTTTTTTTTTTTTCCCCTCCCTTCCTGTAATACTGTTGTGCTATTGAGCCTTGTGCTATCCTACAAGAAGGTGCTAGTCTCCAACTTACTAGCCCTCTGAGCCTTCCTTCTGAGTTGTTGACCTAACTCAACTTGAAGTTAAATGCATGCTGTTAAAACTGACATGCATCTCATGTGGCAGCTAGGTGTTGTGTTGCATTATTTTATTAATATTTTATTAAAAATGTAGGATTGGGATTTAGCTTAAGGAGATCAAAGGTATGCTGACTTTCCCACTCTAGTAATGGAGCATGAGGATGACAGTAAGAACAGGGTAAAACTTAGGAAAATTATCCTGAACATTGGGAGATGTTCTAGATTAAGACTGCAGCATATTGTTCTAAGCAGAAAGTTAGGACATTGTCTATGATCCTTTTCTGAGGAGGGTGGGGTGTTTCGGAATACTTTATATACCCATCACTGAGGCATTTAGAAGTGAATTGACTAGTTATTTCTTTTTGCTTGTTTTTTGTCTTGCTTTCTGCTAATCAGATTTCTGTTTAATCAACAGAGATGCTGTTCAGTTAAACGTGACTGCCACACAACAGCTCCTCTTCTTGGCACAGCGAATGAAGAATTTGGAAGTGTTCATGCATGTTTCGACTGCCTATGCATATTGCAATCGAAAACAGATTGAGGAAATAGTTTATCCACCTCCTGTTGATCCCAGGAAACTCATAGATTCTCTTGAGTACGTGTTATGTTTTATGAAGCTACTTCAGTAGTCTGTAACCACTTGCTTCCTAGTAATGAAGTACCAAAAAAGGTTAGGAACCTGAAAGATGAAGAAATTAGCTTACGCTGTCCTGTAAGTCTGGCAGCATGGCTGATACTTCCCTTTTCGGTAAAGGAGATGGGCTGAGGTTTTATGGTTACTTTCAGCTGAGCTAGGCGTGGAGTAGTACTGAAGGAGGGGGATGCTCATATCTATTCATGATGCCTCCTATGTGCTGAGAGTGGCAGTTTTTCAGCTGTATGATGAGCTGAATCAGGAGCTATTAGAAACAAAAAAGCTGTGCTGTTACAAGTACGCTAGCATCGGCATTGTGAAGGGAAGGGATAAAAACAAGACAGTCCCCTTCAACAGCAGCCTCTACTACATCCACCTAAATGCCATGGCAAGATCAGTCTGAGATACTGAAATAATATTATTTAACTGCTCAGAAACACAACTGTAGAAGTAGTTCCGTTAGGTATTCAGAGAGCGCAAACACTAAAAATCTGTTTCTGTAGCTTTTTAGTCTTGAATTGGGCATTACTGGGGGAGGAAAGTTACTCATTCTATATTTTATTTTCTGTGTATATTAGCTGTCCTGAGGTCTTATTTGCTAGCTGTCAAACCCTAACTGAAACAGGCGGCAAATACGGGATAACTCAAGTGTAATGTAATAAAGGAATAATCTTGTCTCTAAATCAGTCTCTCCCTTCTTCCCTGTCATACAAAATATCACCCCTTGTAAGAGAAGTATGAAACTAAAAATAACTAATTAAAAAGTAAAATATCTTCTTTAACTTGTTATGATAGATGGAAAAGCACTAACATTAAAAACAAATGAGCTGCTACCTAGAATGCACATTGAACCAACCTGTTTTTATAATGTTGACTTTAAATACACTTTAAAATGAGATATTCTGAAATAGGCATATTTTTTCTATCTTTTCTTTACAAAAGCAGGATAAATATAACTTAAACTGCTTGCTTTGGGCTTGGACAGCTGTCTGTATTTTAGAACTCATGGCAATGAGGGGAGGCTTTTGTAAACTTACACAAGGATGATCTCTCTAGCCAACAGCTGACTGAGACACATAGAAACAGATTTGTGTCCCTTTCTGGGCTTTTCTACCCCTCTTCCCACCCCAGTTCATATCATGAAGGCAGTCTGATGCATGTCAGCTTTGATTGTAACAGAACATTGGGGAATAAGAATAACAATGATGGCTAAATTCTGTTTATGTGGCTAAGATGTTGGGTGGCTGAGGCAAATAAAATCCAAGTCCTGTTTTGAAGTGGAGAACACCAAAGTAGCAATAGTTCAAGAGGCACACCTCTGTTGTGCTTGTGTGCTATGAAGGTTATTACAATTTTAAATACAAACTGCTGAATGAATTGGGAAGTGAGATGAAATTGAAATACTTAACTAAATTAAGGGGAGAAACATGGTGACCCAGCTTGCCTCAGAGGTGTGGGATTGCTTAACACCACAAAGGTTTAGGTGATGCTTGTAATACAGCTGGGACTCTTTTCCAGTGGCATCACTTCCTAGGTCACTTAATGCTAACTGAGGAGCAGTGTGCCTGTGTCCCAAAGACTAACTTGCTGTGTCTGTACTTCATGTTTGAGAACTTAGTTGATAGAATTGGGATTATTGTAAAGGAATGTACTACTTGCTCTATAGTTGGTGTATAATAAATTATTTACTTGGGCAAAAAAGTAAATAGTGATACACGTCTTTCAGTGGACACTGAACGTGCAACCCTTCTTTCTTTTACTGAGAAACTTGTTTTCATTTCAGTCTTTATCCCTTTTTCTTTAAAGGACAAAAAAAAATTCATGGTAACTTTAACAACAAAAGAAAAAAAAAAGATTTGATATTTAACAAAGTTCATAAATGTACTTACTTTCTACCAGTACACCATATGAAATAGTTCCAAAACACTCTTGGAACTGGGTACATGTTCTGGTGAAAGATTTTTTTTTTTTGTTCTTGGCATTTACTTTCAAATGTTTAGGTTTTAATGGTTTAATCTGAAACAAAATGAGCATGAAGTTAGTATAAACAGTCTTCTGTAAGTTGGTAGTAATGTCCTTAAACAAACCAGCCTAACTATACTGCTGCTGTAGGATCTCAAATATTACATTCTTCCTTAAGATCCCTTTTCAGAAGGGTTCTATATATGCGTTTGATACCTTAATTTAAATGGTGGTATATAATCAAAATGAGTAATAGACAGGCTCTATTAAACTTGATTTTTCTGGCCTCTGGGATTGGCCTTCAGTTTAAATAAGAAAAAAAACCCCTAACTCTTATATTTTGATGAACAGTATTTTAGGAGGCTATGTGGCTTTAAAGTTAAGCGCAGTATAAGCTGTCAGCAGACACTTATTGTTTGATATGCAAATGCTTATGGAAATATTTTACAACTTCCAGCTGTTTAAAGTAGAAAGAAGTATGTGACATGCTAACTTCAGTGGGAGTTGGTGTTAAATTCTGAAAATCAAGCTGAGACTTAAAGTGTACTAGTTTAGTGTTAGATACTGGGGTAGTTGTAGAAACATGAAATACAGAACTGAGTTTTTAATTATTGCCTAAATTTCTTCACAGAATTTCTTGTTCCTCTGTGCTTATGTAGCTTCTAGGGGAATGGTAATGCTTTGATGGCTTCAGTGTGTTTTTTTGGTTGAGGGTTTGGGGTTTTTTTTGCCTTGGGTGGTGTTTTTGAAGAAGAGATTGGATTTTAATTTTACTTTCTAAAGTATTTTTGATTTATCTGGTTATCCTTTTTACATACTGCTTTCGACCCCGTCCCCCCCACCCCCAGTGAAGCAGCATGTGGTAATTTACGCTTGCCTCTTATTTTGTTTCTTTAGGTGGATGGATGATGGCCTAGTGAAAGATATTACTCCTAAACTGATAGGCGACAGACCTAATACTTACATATACACAAAAGCCTTAGCCGAATATGTAGTACAACAAGAAGGTGCAAAATTAAACACAGCCATTATAAGGCCATCTATTGTTGGTGCTAGCTGGAAGGAGCCTTTTCCTGTAAGTCATTGAGTTTTCACCTGACCATCTTGCCTGTAAACTGTAGTACGTACTGTCAGCCTGTTTATCTAGTCACCTTTGTAGAGGAAAATCTTTTAGACTATGAAGTTGTGGCTTGGTTGCTTCTGGATAACAACTCTGATACAAAAGCTGCCAAATATGGTATTCTTACGTGGAAAACTTAGGGGTAAATTACTTCAATCATAGAACAATACACTTCTATCACAATGGGATATACTATTTCACACACTAAATAAATGGTCAGCTTTTTACTCCATGATTCTGTGTATCTTCATCTGTTTTTCCCTCTTCAAGATGCTTTGGTATGTCCGTACCGGCAAAGGATGACTAGGAAAACTGGGGACTGCAGGACATTAAAATGTTTTGGCTCTGCTTCTTGTAGTCAAACCCTGTAAGCTTTGCAGGGGATGGCATAAGTTCTATGTACCGTATGCTATATTGATATATGGCATATGTACTATATGCTTCCTCCTATATGGGAGATTAGTGTTGGAATACCTTCTCCAGTTCAAGACTGAATGTCTCAAGCCCTTAAAATCCATATAATTAACTTTGCATGCCTTTTTGAGTGTGTACAATGTACATGTCAGACCAATAAGTATATAGTGTCTAAATGCTGTCATTAAAGATGAGCAAGAATGTCTTCTGTTTGAAAAACGAAAAAACTAATAATCGATAGCAAAACTGCTTCTCTGTTTTCTGAGTTGCTAGAAGCTAGCCTACAAATACTTGTAAACTTGAATACTTTCAACATAGACATAATTATACAGACAACACCCTGCAGTTTATTCAATAAGAAATAAACAAGCTAGCATCTCACTTTGAAGGACCAGTGAATCTATGGGTAGATCTCATCTGAGTCATAGCAACTTGTTACATCACCAGATTTTGCTATGGAAGAACTTCATTTAGAGACATGGAAATTAATATCTTGCTCCTCTTTATTCTCTTTTCCCTCCACCCCTTCCACGTGTAGAAACTTGTCAAATTTTCACTTGAAACTGCTGACTTAAGTATACTCTAACCGAATCCTTTCCCTCCCCCCTGTTCATAATAGGGATGGATTGATAACTTCAATGGACCTAGTGGTCTCTTCATTGCTGTAAGTAACGAATATACTTAAATTTTTTTCCTCCTTTTGGAAGGCAACAAAGCTTCATATGTTTTACTGGTGAGTCTTCTGTCTCTTTGTTGTTGTTTTGTTCTTTAAGGCAGGAAAAGGAATTCTTCGAACAATGAGAGCTTCCAACAGTGCAGTAGCAGATCTTGTTCCAGTAGATGTTGTTGTCAATACGACACTGGCTGCAGCCTGGTATTCTGGAGTTAATAGGTATAACAGGTGACAATAGAGTACCAAGTATTTTGAAATGATACTATGTATTAATAAATCAGTCTTCTATTGAGTTTCTAATCAGTGCCCTGCTATTCTCCCAGGACAAAGGAATCTAAGGTTCTAACAGCATTAATCCCTCAAAGTGTAACTTCCTTATGCCAAAGAGGAAGACATCATCTACTGATACTGTTGTACAAGCTATGCCTTAAAATTCTTTCCTGGGCCTTGTTGTAATCAATACAATCTACAGTAATGTAGGTGACACCTTCTCTGAAAGAAAAGACATATGGTAGTTAAAGGAGAAAAATACTGGAAGATGATAGAGAAAGCAAAAAATCTAACATAGGACTGATGCTTTCTGCTTTTTGTAAATGATGCTGTTGAGGGAAAGGATAACTCTGGGTATGTCTTTTGTCTGTCTTTTTAGAAGGTTGTTTGTCTTCTAACTTGCTCTTTTGTCTTTTTCCCCCAGACCAAGAAATGTCATGGTGTATAACTGTACAACAGGTGGCACCAATCCTTTCCACTGGGGTGAAGTTGGTATGACATGTTTCTTTTTTTCATAAGCTTTAATAGAAAAATAAGGTCACATAATAAAAGCACAGGCTATAATCCGTAAGTCATATTGCACTTTTACTGTTGAAACTAGTATGATAGCCATACCTCTCAATTTTGCAGTGTATTGTGCTTTTTCATTATCTTCCATTGTTAATTCTCTCCCCTTGTAGCATTATCACTGTTTTATCACTGTTTCATTTTGTTCTTGGGAGTTTTTTTATTCCATTATAACTTAAACTATGGGAGAACGGATCTTTCTGTTTTGATGCTGCCATGGCCTAATCTTCAAAGTGTGGGTAGTGTGCAGAGAAAAGCATTGCTCAGAGGAGCAGTAGTGATGTGGGGTTTAATGCCAACTTTACTAAATACATACGGATAAACAACCCACAACTAGATGTTTTGTATATCTGCATAATTGAGAGGTATGATAATAGTTTTGCACTTGTGTAGCTCTTTGTTTGGCTCAAGTTAATCGTTTGTTGAGGCGGCTTTTTTAATCTTCAGATAGCTACATGAGACTTCAACTATTCATGTACAGGGAAAAGTAATCTTTAAGAAAGTATGGCCACCTATTTTCAACTCTTAGATATCCTGACTAGAGTATAACTGACGTGCCAAAAGCTTTGGAATAGTTTTTGTTATAAATAGCAATACAAGCTGACTGGCATGGTAAAGCTGTTCATTAGCTTTCAGTTTTTTAGAAATAGAGTTCTTAAGCTCAGATCATTTTTTCTTTCAGTTAACTTAAATACTTAAATCTATTTTATTTCTATTGAATGCTTTCTTCGTGCTTTTTACTTGCTTTTGCCCATTTTATATATATCTGTATTTATAAGCCTTATTGCTTCAGCCAAACTTGGAAAATGCTGACTTCATTTATATCTGAATTTGAATCAGGGTATTTAAACACTGTCTATAACAACAGCATAAAGTTACAAGAGATAATACAAAGATGAGGTGAATTTCAATGTAACTTTTTAAGACACTGATCCTGCATATATGTTGAATATTTTCAGGTGTCAGCAGGAGTTTCTTATGGAGTCCCATCCTAATTGCTTTTTTCTTAATGCTTAAATATGGATAAGTTGTTTAAAAATGTCATTTGAAATGCACTTCAGATGCTTGCAAAGTCCTCAGTCCGTTTTTAACGCAAGAGATTAGAATAGCCTTCTTCATGAAATATAGATGACTATTTAAATAGCTTTACATGCTATATAAACTGAAATTGCTGTGAATTTTTGAAATCAACAACTTCTAAGGTAGGGAAGAGGAACAGAAAGAGAGAAGCTACAATAAAATACGATACTGAAGATGAAGGCATAAAAGATCTCTTGGTTATAATAAGAACCAGTTTAACAGTATTCTAGGTTAAAAGCTTATGACTCCTATTTTCTGTGGATTGTAGATGAGTTAGGGTGGCTATTTAAATAACATACTGAAGTAAATATTGTACACTGTAATGTACTTTGAAAACCATTAAATTTATACATGGTTATTATCAAAGCTGTTACGCAACTTTTCTTTCTCAGAATATCATGTAATTTCTACTTTCAAGAGGAATCCTCTCGAACAGGCCTTCAGACGGCCCAATGTAAATCTAACTTCCAATCACCTTTTATATCACTACTGGATTGCTGTAAGCCATAAGGCCCCAGCATTCCTATATGATATCTACCTCAGGATTACTGGAAGAAGCCCAAGGTAACGGTGACTAGCTCTGTCTTGTCTGTTCCTCTGACTTTTAAACAAAGCTATGCTTACAGTATGATGTATATTTATTATTTTTTTAACTTTTTCTTCCCCTGAATGCTTTGTGACTAAAACTCAGCCTTTTTTTCCTGAGAACAGGTCCTTGAATTCAAAGTGACTTTGAACTTTCTAGCAAAAATGAGGATGTTTTTGTTGGGTAGTTTAGGGGTTTGAGTAGTCAAGGTAAACAGAATTACAAGATCTAGCAAGTGATATTTGTTCTTGGATAATAAATATTCAAAATATGTTGATCCTTATTTTTTCCTACAGGACACCACGTTAATTTGAATTTCAAGATAAATCCATTAGAAGGTGCAGTAAGGCACCCTGACTTTAGTTTACAATCCAACCCTCTCTTGTGTCAATATTGGACTGCAGTCAGCCATACAATGCCTGCATTTTTGCACGATCTTTTGCTCAGATTGACAGGTCATAAACCATGGTAAGAAGGACAGGGCTAAAAATACCTTGCTGGTAAGGTGGTGGAGACTTTTGAAGAAGACGTGGCATGGGCACTACCTAGATTTACTAACTATCAGCAATAACAATCCAGTGGTGGCATTTCTAAGAGATTAATGACTGGCTCAACAATGTTGTCCAAGATATGTCTCGGATCAGAATCCTAGTCAGTCATTAAACTCCAGGAAGTGGCTTGCATTAAGATTGTTGTTGCTATTATAAACTGAAAATGGAATGGGAGACAGTTAATAATTGCGGGTTATTCCTGTAGATGATACAACTTGATCTGGTATGTTGGTTTGTATCATCTCAACATTCCATTCAGTTTATAATACTTACACTAGTATCTGGCTAACTTCTTATGTGGTGAAAATGGCATAGCTCTGCTAAATAGGCTAAACTATTAAGTGGAAGGAATATACGATGTCACTTCAATTTGTTTCAGATTTGCCAAGCCATATGAATTTAACTCACTGCATATATGTTATGTTTTCAAAAGTATTTGTCTTCAGACTCTATAAAATCTCCACTATTAACACAAGTGAGTATTCATTCATTGTCCTGTAGTCTAGGTCTGTCTTACAAGGAGGGGAAAAGTTAATGTAACAGACTTGGCACTGGATCAGTAGAAGGAAGCCATGTAAGTGGTTTGTAGGAGAAAACTTCTAAACTGCCTTGGGTTCTGTTGTTCCAAGCCTACTCGATAGTGTAATACTCACAGCAACAGTAGTGGCAGGAGGCTGTGCCTGTATAGTAATCTTCCCACATTAAAAAGATGTAAGCTCTTCAGATCAAAAGAAGGTATTGAACGTACAAGTTCCTACCTTTTAGGTTCTTTTGCAATTTTAAGTTATTATTAATAAAAATAGATAGAAATTCCCTGACAGATGTGAAGACTTCACCGCTCTCTAAAAATAGTTATACTATAAATGCCAACCTACTGTCTTTCAAATGGTTAGGAAGTAGTACTGCCAGAACACTGTCAGTCTTTAAAAGGCGTCTAGTTTTTTAAGTATTTGATCAGTGGGAGTAAAACAAGGCTGTGAATAATCATGTTGTTTAGAACACTCTTAGCAGTTTTATATTGTAACACTGGGAATGTTGAATCTTGTTTTTGCTCTTCCTGGAGTTCTTACTTGATGTCCAAAGATGGAATTTAGAACTTTAATCAGTATTAGTACAATTGGTGACGTTAAATATGTATTTTCTAGCCTGTCAAGTATTACTGATACGAGTATTCCTAATTAGTTTAATATAACAGTGGGTGGGTGAGTTTCCTATCATGCACAAGATTTCCAGTTTGGAGGAGGGATGGAAGATTGATCTAAAACAAGCTATTGTTCAGTCATTAAGAGGTATTGTTCAGTCATTAAGGTTACTCAAATGCACTTGAAAGAAAAGTGTTTGATACCCAGCCCACTCACAGGAATATAGCTTTCATTATATAGTGCTTTTTTTTTTTTAAGCATTTAAAAAATAGGAGCCTGCAATAGGAGCAGTAGAAGCAAATAAATATATAGATGCAAGCAAGACATGCAGTGTTAAATCCTAATGGGCTTCATGTGTTGTTTAATAATAGGAGAAATTTGAGACAGATCTTTACTCTTCTACTTTTTTTTAGTCTTCTGGCTCAAAGTACTTTGAAAGCTGCTTTAACTGATGGGCTTACAATGTCTGGGAGACAGTCATTGTATAGGGATGTACTACTGTTGCTGTGGTCATTCTGTCTAGTTGACAAAATGGTTTTAATTACCAGGTGGCATGTACTAGGAAACTTCTAAAGTCTTGGAAACATTGTTGGAGATTCTTAAACTCGATATAATGCTGTTCGGAGTGAAGAAGGGCTGGCTTAATCTAAAATGTGACCTTTTCCAACGTGATTTAGCAGAAAAACTTGAGCAGTATAGCAAAAATGTAGTAAAATCAGCACAAGAAAATTCAAATACTGTGCTAACTTGACTTCACATGGTCGATGGCCTGCCCTCTCTGTGCTGAGTCTGAATACACTTCTGAGGACTTTATTGTGTACAATGTAGGAAAAACTCTAAGCAATGAAATTACTGTGTAGGTTTAACTGCACTGTTGTCATACTGTCAGGATATTGTACTGCAACTGAATGAGAAATTTTTAACAAGTGGAAGAAATAGATCAGGCCTATGACCTTTCAGAGCTAAAGGATTATGTTCATAATAACAAAAAAATCTTCCTGTTCAGGGTTGGTTTTTTTTAAACTTATCTGTTGAAATCTCTGCAATATGAAATCATTCTTTTGCACCTCACTCGTGGAAGCAATGTTTTTAGTGAGATGGAAATCTCTGCTGTTTTTGCATCTAGTTGAAGGTTCTTGAATTTAGCAATTCTCTGATAATATTAACAGTAAGGAAAGGGAAGGAAGAAATAATGCATATAATATTTCTTCCAAATTTTATAGAAAGAACATGTACAGTAAGGATTGGCATAATGAAGATTTAGTATTTTATACTAAATACTTACGACTGTTATAGCATTGTGCAGTTACGTAAATAGTGGTGATAATCCTTAGCATCCAAGTTTAAGGATAGTGTTGTCAGTAGCTTGCCATATATACTTAGTTTTGTAGCAAAGCTTATTAATTGTCTAACTTTAATATAAGGCATAGTTCTCTCTTGTAACTTTGCATAGTGCTTACCACAACAGAACCATATGTTATTTAAAAACAATTCAGTATATTGAAATCTTAAAGCCTTTAAAACACACACCCAGCAGATCTTTCCAATTACTCTGGAAGAACAGAACGCAGCATGAAATACTTAAAGTTGTAATTCAGGGATTTCTCCAGCAATTCATTTTCTGTTACTGCTTCTTAGAAAGCTGAAGAGAAGGTGTGGTTGATGTATGTAGGGAGGTGTAAAGGACATAATTTCATATCTATCATTTCAATTTAAAGCTGCTTAAAACTTAACACGAAGCACCTTTCACATTTCTGGTTTGTAAGACAGTAACTGAGTAAAGAGTATACTTCTATTGAATAGATCAATATGGTTTTCCCTCTTGGAAGCACTTTTAAGTTGTGCACTTAAAGGAACCACAGAGCTGCTGGAAAGATAAGCATTCCAGTGCTATGTCTTATGCTTCAAAATTTACAGCCAAATGAAAATCTGAACAAAGACGAATCTGAAAGCTTGTTTTATGTATTTTAGAGGAATCCTTTTAAAAAAAAAAAAAATTAATTACCTCTAATGCTTATGTGGAGACTTGCAGTTTGGCAGCCTGTAGATCCACTGAAGGATCAGTCTGTATTTAGCATCAGAACTGTTTTTAGCCTGGAGACAATAGGTTGTGTGTAAGACTTCTTCAAAATGCAGTCATAACCTTAAGCCAGGTCACTTTTGATTGTCTGGTATAGAAACATGCTCACCTAACTTACAGATAATTGAATTAACTATTGCTTAAAACTTTTAATTCCTGTGATGGGCTTCTCAAACTGTTGTAATGTATTTTGTGTTAATGGCAGTAAGGACAGCCTAGTAGAGGCGAAATTCCACTTAGTATCTAGGTGAAAGTCTTGCATGCTGTCACACTGACTTGCTGACTGCCGCTAGTGTTCCGTTCTTCATGATGATCAGCAGGTCTGGCTTTTTTTTTCTGTCTTTAGCTTATCAAGAAGGTGTGATACAATGCTTGATATTATACTGACTGGTTATATATGGCTTTGATATTTGACTTGTATCCAATGGCTATCTCTGGAACAACCTGTGGAGTATATATTTCAAAACTTCAGGTTGAGAAAGAAAGTTCTGTTATGTGTATTCATGCTCTTTTTCGAGTCGTGTGTGTATTCCCATTTGCAGGAGGAATATGGTGCCATTGAACTTACAAAACTTAGTCTGCCAGAGCTACGTGTCCACTAAATGATACTCATTGCTGACACCTCTGAATATGAGAGGCTGTTACCATACTTCTTTTTCTTTAAAAAAAAAAAAAAAGTGTAGTTTCATGTTGATTTAGTGCAAACTAACAAGCTGTCACCAAGAGAGTTGGTCCTCTTCTGCCAACTTTGTAATTGATCTAGCAGTTGAGAGAATGTGGAGACATTTGATTCTTTTGGCTGATAGATCAAGAAACTAACCCTACAAAGAAAAAAAACGATTTTCCACTGGTGAATTGAATCAGCTGGTTCTGTGGCCAGTCACTAAATCCAGTTTGAGTTGGAGGGAGGGGAAAAAATCTGTAGCTGAAGTAAACAACTCTTTTTAGCCACTTGATTTTTTTTTTAATCAGCTTAGCTATGCTTTAAAACTATATCCATAAGCAGAGACAGCAAGATTCCCAGCAGAGATTAGTCTTTATATTAGTTTAAATTTAGTTTAGTTTTTGTTTATAGAAAAGAGTGAAAACCAATGTCAGTGGCCAGTAACAAGCTCAAAATCTACACTTGTCTAATCAGATATTCATTTGCACCATTTAGTATTTTGCAGGGGCACAAGTGCAGTAGTCTAAGCACTCTAACTAAAACTCAACTGCTCTTCCAGCTTAGCATAAGAACACAAACTGGGGAGGCACAACAGGGCAAATCAACTAAGTTAAATAATCTTAAGACTGTCAGTGGACAGACCTCTGCAAAAAGTCTAAGCACTTGGCCACCGTGTCCTGTTTGGCACTATTTTTGTCCAGGCCATTTTGCTATGAGGTCTCTTCTGGCTTACCCGACCAGTGATATCTTTGCTTTCCAAGTTTTGAGTTCTTTTCTGAATTTCTTGACTTAACTATTATGCTTTTTTTAATGTTCAGTTCTGTCTTGTTAGCACAGGGTATGTTATGGATGCACAGTCTAGATTCCTAATTATTTTTGAATCAGTGGAACTCTGGTTCAACTCAGCTCCCACTGTTGCCACCTTGCCCAACTGGTGAAACTATAAACAGGTGTTTTAAAGCATCTAGAAATATCTACTAATGAAATTAGCTGGTGGTCTAAAATTTGAATACAGGTCTGAATTTTACTCTGTAGATAAGTTCCTATGGTGTTTAAGGAAAAATATTTGTGCTTTTTGTGCTTCAGAGATACTCTGCTTTTTCAGTGGTCTCTGCAATTTGTATTACTCCATTTCATGAGAAGAAAGAGGCAATTTTGATATTCTCTTAGATACTGAGATGCCAGCCATTAGTGACAGTAGGGGACACTGATGTGATGCAAAATACTTTCTTTAGAAGAGTTTTTAGGACAATGTGCTATATCCCTTCTACAAGTACAAATGCATCAAGGCAGCTTTCAGAGAAAAATCGGTGGCTCTTATTGCTTCTGTGAACTGTATTGAACAAAACTTACCTTCAGAAAGACATTTCCTGTTAGTGCTGGGTTCTGCTTTCTTTGCCTTCCCTTCCCCTTTGCCCCCTGTGCTTAAAATAATCAGTGTATCCTGCTATAAGGATCAAATTGGAAGCAGTTCTGCGAGATGGAAATGGCTCAAGCACCCAAAGCAGGAATTTAATAGCATTAGGTTGTGTGGTACTAGTTAGTACTTACGAAAATCGAGTGACCATCTCCAGCACTGTAACACTTGAAACAATTTTCTTGTCATAAATGTTGGAACTTTGCATCTGAGAGACTGGATGACTCGCATTTTTTGGGTCCACTTCAGATAGTCTGATCAAATAGAAGCTTGCCCAAATTGATCCTTATAATTTCTCTGTACTCCAAGTGATGGTTTTGGTAGAGCTGCTTCTTCTGCATAATAAGGGGTGATGGAAGGTATTTCTGCATATTTTGAAGTAGCATAGAACTGATCACCTAACTAGTAGGATCTGCTATGATCTATCTGTGCCCTTAAATATTTTCCTGCCCTTTGCTGCAGTAACAGTAAGGTTAAGGGGCTAAGCCATATTTCTGGTGGCTTTAAGCCTTGATCTCTTAGTGACCATGATAAACCAATTTTGTTTTGTTACAGAGATCTGGTCTTGCAAGTGTGCAGGAAGATTAGGGAAACTTACTCCCTTGCTTAAAGTTGTCATGTGCCTATATTCTGCACTGTGCAATTTGACTCTTTCATCAAGTCAAATTGTTCAGTACAGCTAGGTATTCCAGTATGCTGAAGTGAAAAGTGTTCTGTGTTTGTGTCCTAAAACAAGAGTTACCAACAGAAGACAAGACTACAATCTTTTTTTTTGGGGGGGGGGGAAGAAACTTACTATTGCACTGGGAAGTAGGATTAGGAAAAAAGGACTGTCCTATAATTTCTGATTCTATATAAAGATTGGACAGCCAAAGTCCACTTTAATAATATGCAGAAACATCCTGTTGATCTAATATAACATGCTTTGGGTACAGAGCAAGATGGGATATGTTAACATAGGGGTGTGGGGTTGGAGGGGAAAAAATTTACAATCTTACTGTCTGTTTTTTCTTGTTTGAACTAATCTTTACCACTGTAAACTTGTACATTCCATGCCTTGGACTGTAGGATGATGAAAACAATAACACGTCTTCATAAGGCCATGATGTTAATAGAATACTTTACAAGCAATTCTTGGATCTGGAATACTGAAAATATGACTATGCTAATGAACCAGCTGAACCCCCAAGACAAAAAGGCAAGTAGCTGTGTGATGTGGGCATGGGGACTGAAAATGAAATATAAGCTCATTGATTTAAGATTGAATAAGGACATGAACTGGTAATGCTGCTTACTGTAATGTAGAGCTAACCCTAGTACTAACTTAGTGCTGGAGATTCCTGTCACATCCATTCAGTTGTGCCGGGGCTGTGTTATGAGCTAGATCAGTGATACGATCAGAGAGGAGGAAGGGCAGGAGCCCCTTGAAGGAAGCCTGATGTAAAAGATGGTTGTCTTTGGAGTGGCCTGATCACGTGGTCTGGTGTTGCCCATATATCAACCAAGTGGCCAAGCTGTAATGGTGTTACCTATATCATGAATAAAACAAGGCTTTACTTCTTGACTGCTGTCTCTTTCCCGAGGAACAGCAGGTGAGTTTTGAGGGACTCTTTTGCTTGTTTTTAAACTAGTAACAACTTTTATATACCCTTTTCATGCTTTGGCCAGAGAGCCTGTGTATTAAAAGAAATGTGAGTGTAAATTCTGTCACTACTTTCTGAAGCACACTCTTGCTGTGTGACTAAAACTGCCCCATGCAGGGGGAAAAGTGTAATGGAAGCAGGATGTCAGAAGAGTCCCAAAGGTTGTTGAGGAAGAACAAAAATTTGAGTGCAGGGTCTGAGTAAGAGTGAATGAAAGAGCTCAAAGGAAAAGTCTTAGTCTTCCCGCTGTGTGTGGTTGTTGACCATCTATGTGAGTCTCTGTTTTTGCGCTATGTTTACCAATCTTAAACTAACAGAAATGCCTGGATGTGGCTAGCTGGTTCACCCTGGTGACTAGTATTGACTGAAGCTACCTTCTTTACCTGCATGTATGCCTGTGCTGCTGGATTCCCACCTCGCTGCCCCTCATATGGCTGGGAAAAGTTATGCAGATCTTACTGGATTAATTCAAAGTTATTAAAAATATATTTGTGCAATAGTGAAGCTGTAGTGGAATGGAGGAGTTGTCCCCCACCCCCCCCCCCCCATATGTTT